ATAAGATTATCTAAGAACTCTGTGAAACAGAAGTTTGTAGCTCTGTTACAAAATTGTTAATCTCAATAATGATTACAGAATGTGTTGTTTGTAAAAAAGTTCATATTACATCCTTACAATTTCTTTACTTTTCTGTATGCATATTATACTTAAAGTTCACATCAAAATATAAAGGATCATTATATAGGAACACACAATGTAAGAGGAAGTAAAGGAAAATATCCCTGGGTAGACAATTTTTTAAAAAACAAGTTCTTCCCATTTCTCCCAGGCTACCTGGTCTGCTGACTCAAGTGATTCTCCTGCCTCAGCTTTCCAGACATCTTGGACTACAGGTGTGTACCATCAGTCCCAACAAAACAAAAATTTTAATTAGCTCATTATAAATAATAACCACAAAGGAAAAATTATATACTCTACTACATTAAAATAATTTGTTTAATAAGAATATCCCATCATAGAAAGTCTTTTTCATAAACTAAAAGATATTTGCAATACCTTGGTCCAATAAACATTCATTAAAAATAAATAATCTCCACAAAACAATAAGAAAAAGAGAAATGGTCCAAAAGAAGAAGTAATGAACTTAATATAAAATTCACTAAACGGAATATAGAAATGAGTAATAAACATATGAAAATATGCATGACTGCATTAGTTATTGGAAATACAAAAGTTAAAACATGACAATTTTTTTTGTCTTGTTAGCAATACACTCTTGAATGGATAAAATTTAAAAACCAAGATCATATTAGGAGCTAGCAAGGTTTACGGGAGCTAGCATGCTCATACACTGTTATGAAAGTATAAATTGGTACAAGCACTTTGGAAAACTACTTGGCAATGTCCACCCTGTCTGAGGATAGGCATATTTGTGACAGAGAAATCCCACTTTATCCATTACTAGTAAGGTAAACTCAACATCTGTGATACAGTCATGCAGTAACATAGAGTACAGCTACAAAAAACTAAAGTACTTAAGTTATGCACAACAATGTGAATGAGTCTCGAAACTCACATTTTAATGTTGAATTAAAGAAGAAAGGCACAAAATACATACACAATAGTTCAACATCAGACCAAATGAATTGGGCACGGTGCTGCTTGCCTGTGAGTCTCAACACCCTGGAAATCTGAGATAGGAAGGTCATAAATTTGAGCCCAACCTGGCCACCCGAACAACTAAATGAGATCCTGTCTCAAAATTGAATCTAAAGAATGCAATGAGAACATGCCTCCTGGAGAAGGCCCTGGTTCATCCCCCCAGGGAGGGGAGTGAGAGACACAATTGCAAAGTGGGGTTTGAAATCAGAACAGTGGTTACCCACAGGAGGCAGGGATACAAGCTAAAAGGCAAAACAGGGAGCTTCCTGGGGAGGGGTGATCCTTTATTTGTTGGGAAAATATTGATTGTATAGGTATATTTACATTGTGAGAATTAATCTGGCTCTAAGTTTGTACTTTTGTGTATGCACTTCAATGTTAATGTTCTGGTTTCAAGTTCCACTAATTTTTCTGCAAATAATATACTTTCATTTTACTTCATGGCTAAAAAATATTTTATTGTGTGAATGTACTATATTTTTTGTTCATTCATTTGCTGGTAAGCATCTGGATTGTTTCCAGAGTTCTTTTATAGTGAATAGCATTGATCTAGACATAGGTATGCATGTATTAAAATTACTGAAAAAATATCGAGAGAATTATGATAAACATAGAAGTCAATTTCAAAAAGCCTCCAAACACCCCAAAATTAATAGTTTAATAATAAAATTGATAACAATTGTAGTTGATTAAAGCACATTTAGTCCCCAAAACTCTGTGAGCCTATAATAGTATTTAAAGACGAAAATTACTAAAAATTGTATGGGGTACCTTTGGAGCTAATAGAGCTTACCTTATTGCTTTATCAGAAATATCCTGTTTTTATTATTAATTGCCTTCACTTTGTTATCAAAAGTATTGTAGCATGGCTGATAAATTATATATTATAGCACCAATAATTGGTAAATTATATTGGTGAATTGGTAAAGAAATAGAAAGAGTTAAGCATTTATGCTACCTTTTCTAGACAACCTAGATGGAAAGGCAAAAGTTTATTTTACAGAAGAATTTCACTAGAAATGTAGATGACATAGACATAGAAAATTATTTGTCTTACAAACTTTAACTAATGCATGGACTCAGTTTATCAATGGTTTGGACTACTGTGCCTCTGGCTGGTGGGCAACATGATATATCTATAGTCCGTCAACACCACCTGAATGACTACTCATTTTGGTCCCTAAAAATATAGAGAGATATAACTGAAAAAATGGAGGTACCAGATTAGCATCATCCTAAGCCAGGCAACACTGCTAGCATTTAGACTAAGGGTAAAATTAGTTTTCAGTTATGCTGTGATATTCATGCTGTATGTTAAAAAATATTTAACCTGATTCTGTGTAGTTATTAGATTTAAATTTCAATTTACTTGAAATAAAGGTATTGAGAAACAAGCTGAATTACAGAACTAGACAACTCCAGAAAGTGGGGCAAAGTGTTGGAAAAGCAGGCTAGTGGGAAAATGTGGCTTGGTTGGAAGTAACGACCAAATGAAACGCAGAGACTGGTTTCAACAAGCCAGCTGTGGAGATTTTTAAAAGCTTGAATAAATTCACACATACACTGTGTAGTAGATGACATCAAAATGTACTGCTACCAAGAATAGTTTGTTAACTGCAAAAGAGAATTAGGTTACAGAGCCACAAATATGAAATGATCTCTTAAAAATGGAATGTCTGCATCGATATGTTTGTGTTTACCTGTAAAAATGAAAAACATCTAAAAGGATATGCAGACATTCAACAGTGTTGTAGAGCAGTGATATTACAGGCGGAAAGAATATGCACTTGGATCTATAAATAAGGTATATTTTGGATATTTGCATTTTGCAGCTTTTGGCAGGGCATTTATGCAATGATTATAATAGAAAGTTAATTTCAATTTTAAAATGGTATTTGTAAGTAAATGGTTAGTAAAGGGAGAAGTCAATAACACTGTCTAATTTTGTGTTTTCTCGTAAGTAACAGCCTTGACTAAATTGTAGAACACAGAATTTGGTAGACTATTTTAGTGTTTCAACCTAATAATATTTGTGTATACGCATGGATTATATTTGTCTTTCTTGACCTGTTCAGCCACTATTATAGCAAGTGTTATATCTTCACTATTTAATATTTGCTTCTTTGTACATTAGTTGTTATACAAAATATGTTCCTTTAGTGATTAATTTTTGACACTTCATTACATAATAATGAATTAGAAGTAAAAAGTTCAAATAAAATACTGATGTTTCGCCCAGGGCACACAAAATGTTTTAATTGAGAAAAATTCCAAAGAAAGAGCCATACATATCAGTCATTATAGTAATACTCCCAAATATTCCCACATAGAAATGAAATCTTAAAAATGACAAAGAAGTAGTATAATGAACTACTTGATAATTTTTTTCTATCTTCTCAGAATTTTTTAGAGGAGTGTTGGAATATATATAACATGAAAGATAATATGATATAAATCTAAAGAGGAATGAAATTTTTTAAAAAAACAAAGATAAGAAAAAATACACACAAAGGAGGATTAAAAATGTTAGCATATATACATATATAAATATTACATATAATATACAACTTTAAATGTCCACTATGTAATTAACAATATCCATAAAATGTATTATCCAATTGCTCTTAATTCTAGAATTATATTGGAATGGCTCCAGAGGACATTGTTAAAAAGAAACTAAAGTCTTAAAGAACATTCTCCATGACATTAGTACACATATTCTATCCTCTCACTTTCACATTATTTTCATCTTTCCTAATTTGAAGCACTTCCTTTGAGATGCTCAGAATTTCACAACTTAATTTCAGTTTTTCTAAAGAGCTAATTTCTACTTCATTCAATGTTCTTTTGAGCAACTGCAAGGTTATTAATGCTATTTATATGAATTACAAGAAATCAGGAAACTTGAAATTAAATTTTCTAGTCTATTAAAGAACTCCATGATTTAAAAAGTTCAAGATGATTACATTATAAACATGAGTGAAATCCCATTAGTAATCATCAAGGGCTTATTTAACTGTGTACATACTTTTATGTTTGCAAAAAAAAAAAACCCCACATATTTTAGTGGAAGATTGATTTTTTTTTTCAGTAGTTATGGAGTTGTGAACATTTGTGTATTTCAATCAATATATAGATATAAATATTTGCTATTGTTGTTAGTGTTAAAGTTTGGACTATGCTTGCTATTTTGTTGCTGGGTGCTAAGGATCTCGTGGTGAGTGTGCATTCAAACTAGTACATTGTAATGTTTGTTCAAGAAATACATTTGGATCTTATGAACCATTACAGTACACCAGAGAAACTATTCTGTATTTACATGTGTGACTTATTTATTTCACTTAGGAGTATATCCTCAATATGAATCCATTTTCCTATGAATGAATCTAATTTCTCATTCTTTGTGGCTGAGTAGTATTCCAATTTATAGAAAAGCCACATCTTCTTTATCCAGTTTCCAGCTGATGGGCAAATGGGCTGTTTCCAAGTTTTAGCTATTACAAACTGTGCCGCTATAAACATAGGTGTGCATGTGTCACTGTGATACGATTCTTTTAATTCTTTTGGAAAGATACCCAGCAGAGGGATGGCTGGGTCAAATGGAACCTCTAGTCCCAGCTCTTTGAGGTATCTCCATATTGATTTCTATAGTAGTACATGAGATCCTAATGATGTAATTGACACTATGAAATAGGAAGAAAAGGGCTAAAGGTGCAGGGAAAGTGGGAAGGGTAGGGGAAAGTTAATAAGGGAAAAGAAAAAAAATATGAGAAAATAAACAAATGGAAATAAAGTGTTTATAAATGGGGAGGTAGACGGGGGTGAAGGGAAGGCCAGGACAAGGGGAAAAATGAGAACCAAGACCTGTCATGTAAAAGTACAAGATCCCAATGATGAATGTAACTGTACTGTATACCTAAAATGTACCAATAAACAATGAGAAAAAAAGAAATGGAAAATCACTAATTTTGGATGTTTAATCAATGAGTGTCCTCCCTAAATGTGCTATTGTTGTTGCAGTCTAACAGTGTGACAACATACAGTCAAAATTGGAGTGCTGGTGAAGGAATATACTGACACTGTATGTTGTTAATGAGGCAGAAATTCATCCCTGGTTCCTACATTAATTTAGCATTTGCCTTTGACATTTAGAGCGTGAAACAGGAGCTTATCTTTAATTCCCACCAGTGGCTGATCCATAAAGGTGATATTTACTTTTTCAGTTTTGACTAAATCATAGCAGTGTTACTCTTTGATAAACAAGTTGAATTTGGAAGAATAATCTTCCTCAAAGTTATGAAATAACTCACTCACTCACTGAAAGTATTAACAATTGAACCAAAGGACTGTCAGGGAGCTGAGAGTTTGTCAGTTTTCTCAAAGTTGAGATTTCCCAGTCTTTTAAGAATTGTTTTGTATTTTGGAAGTGTCATCGTATTTTAATATTACCATGTCATATTTTCTAATAGCAATGTAGAAATAAGAAGCAAACATGTCTACATTCTAGCACCCTTATCTTAGAATATGGGGAAAGTGGGTGTGGGAGAGAAGTAGAGAATATGGAAAGGAGAAGGGACAGTAGCGTCAAACATTTGGAGTAAGCTAGCAATTTATTGGAAGAAAAAGTGTAAATAATTTTCCCAGGATTGGACGTCTATGTTATCAACTTGAACGCAACTGGCTGACTGACCATGTACACTGACTGTGTAAACACAGGTGGCTTCCGGCCCCTTCACACCCTTGTGTCGACAGCGTACATTTTGGCGGTCTCTGTCCGAAGAGCGTTGTGTGACTTTGCCGTGGAAACCCCTACAGTTGAGTAGGACTTCCTGGTGGAATAAGGGTAGCTCCTTTCAGGCCCAACGTCTGAAAAAGATAAATGCAGAGAAATCAAAAGTAAGTATGACTCGGTAAATTTTACAAAATTTCAGAAAAAACACAATTTTGTATGGTTTTTCCCAAAAAGGGTTGAAATAAACATTTTAGTAGGAATTGTTTAGGAATCGTTTTTTGAGTTTTTTTTTGTTGTACCGGGGATCGAACTCAAGTCCTTGCACTTACTGAACCACTGAACTAAATGCCTGGCCCTGTTTGCTTGGGTTTTTTTGTTTTGTTTTGTTTTAGGAATCGTAAGAACAATCCTAGAAAAAAAATATAAAAATTTCATCCTCAAGGTTATCTGTAGTCTGAAAATTTATCCCAGTAACCTTTCTTTCTCTTTCTCTTTTTTCTTTCTTTTCTTTCTTTCTTTCTTTCTTTCTTTCTTTCTTTCTTTCTTTCTTTCTTTCTTTCTTTCTTTCTTTCTTTCTTTCTTTCTCTCTTTCTTTCTTTCTCTCTCTCTCTCTCTCTCTCTTTCTTTCTTTCTTTCTTTCTTTCTTTCTTTCTTTCTTTCTTTCTTTCTTTCTTTCTTTTTCTTTCTTTCTTTCTTTCTTTCCTGCCTTCCTTCCTTCTTTCTTTCTTCCTCTCTCTTTTTTCTTTCTTTCTTTCTGATAAGAGGAGTCATAGTTTTTAGAGTGAAGCTTTAAGAAATGCAATGTAACACATTAAATTCTTTATTTATAACCATTTGAAGGGCTGTCAATTCACTTCTGTATTTGTGCCTGAATTTAGCTGGCTGGGTGAAGATAGGTGTACAAAAATTTATGATATATCAACCTCAGATAACTCTCCAAATTACCAAATCTATTGTTTCATAATATTTTAAGGTAAATGCTAATTTGTTTCATATATAATATGCTTTTTGTGTTTATTGAAAAGAAAGATTTTTCCTTTTGTTTGTTTCTTCTTTGTGAGAGAGAATCTTATTTTGTCTATGACTTGTACTCTGAATAAAATTTTGACCATTCTTTTAATATCGTGATACATGGTATATTAACCACTGTTATTACTCTAATTATTTTGACATGGAATTTATTTTATTTTTGTCAATGCATTAGAAAGAGTATGCTTGTATTTATCGATGTTTACTTATATTATGTTAAAATTAAAAATAATTTTAAAACCATTACATATTTAATATTGGATAAAATTATAGCCATGGATATATTTTTTCCATCAGTATACTAATAACTTTTTAGTAAAACTTGAGTATTTCAATTCATTTGTCTATGACCAATTGGAATTTTTAATGGCAATAAGTAGAAATTTCAATATCATTAGGCTTCATCTTAATGAAATGTTTTACCACTGGCCTTGATGGTGGAAGCAAGGAAATGTGTTATTTTACTTACTTGGTTCTTACCTTTAAAGGGGTACAAGCAACAGGTGAGGACAGCTCCAGCCAAAAAGCAACCTAGAGACCCAGCCATTCCGAGCCAGCAGGACCAACCAAATTTATATTGGATGCCAATAAATATATTATGAAAAGTCAGAGAAGTACGTTCCACGTAAACATCGACAGCATACCACACAGAGCCTATGATTCCTGGAGCACCTGAATGGAAGAGGGGATTGTAAGATAACACAGAATGTTTCCCAAATTTAAATGCAAGGAAACCTGCTTACTTCTCACAATGTATTGCCTAAAGAGGTAATGATGACATCATAGACTCATGGGCAACTCAATTTCAGGGTAATTCTTCTACCTTTGTCTTTTATATTTCGTCTCCTAAATTCTCCAAAGTTTGTTTCTGTTTATACATAAAAGGTACAACAAAAATGGAATAATGCAGTGCTCATTGGCTTGTGTGAGCCTAAAATAATCACTAGATTTTCTTTACTTGTCCTATCTTTCCGAAGCTATTTTAGAATAGTCATGTGTCGCTTAATGATAAAGGTGTTTACAGGAGACTTCAGCACTGTGCGAAAGGCATGGAGTGCACATACCCAAAGCTAGATGGGAGAGCCCACCTTAACCCCAAGCTATAGAGCGTAGCCTGCTCTCCTCTGGCCACAATAAATGTAGCAATCTAAAAATAAACCAAGCCCAAGAGAAGGGCATGAAATGAAGAAATGAGGCAAACAAGAATGATATGAGGGTGTTGTCAGTGAAACACAGCATATTGTTTTGCAATGAATTATCTTTAGAAGTAGAGGGAATGTCCTCCAAAATAGTGATAAAAAGTATAATATAGTAAATGTGTTAGCCATCAGCATAGTTGTTAATTATCATTATCAGGTAGGGCAGTAGGTTTTTTTTTTTTTTTTAATTTTTACATCTGCATCCCAACAAACAGGTGAGCAATGCCTTGTGTTATTATGTTACCACTGCTACACAGTCACTAGGTGATACAATTTTAGCTCCAGTATAGCTATAGGGAGCCACTGTCATGGCCTGTTCTTGCCTAAAATGTTATTCAGCTCATGACCGAATTGTATAAAGAAAATATTTTTAAAAATAAGAAGAAAGACTGAAAGAGCACACAATCAGGTACAATTTTAGCTCCATTATAGCTGTAGGGAGCCACTGTCATGGCCTGTTCTTGGCTAAAATGTTATTCAGCTCATGACCGAATTGTATAAAGAAAATATTTTAAAAATAAGAAGAAAGACTGAAAGAACACACAATCAGGTATAGTTTAGAGCAAATATTCCTTCTGGACTGACTTTTCAGTATCTGAAACAAATGAGTTAAAATTTTCTGTATTTTTAATAAATCTTTATCTCCCACTTCTTTTACACTGCATCAGAATGGATCAAGAAATTTTACTGCATTGAGTGAAATTGAATCCCCATAGTCAGCCTCTCTGACAGTGGTTTAGGTTGAAATGATGCCATTGGCTTCCTCTTATTTTAAGTGTTTTGGTTGTATGGCAAGGCTTAAAAGCAAGAACAATAAAATGGAAATGTGGGAGGGTAAAGGGTATTTCTAAAATTTGTAACTCCAAAATCTATAACTTCTACATTTTCCTCCTGGGGAGTCTGTGATGTCTACGTAATAACTATTTGTAATTATTTAATGCATTTAGTTTAAGAACAAAACTCAGGAGTATATAAACTTTAGAAACAGAGATAAAAACTGCTAGAGCTTTCCTCTATTATTACCCACTGGCTTAAGTAGGAAATTCTTGTTTGGATAGTTCAATGCAGACAACAAACATTTTTTTTTTTGTAAATATATGGATGTAGCATACTCATTCTGAATAGTGCTTTCAAAACCCTCAGCATCTGGCCAGTTGGTTAGTCACTGTTATTTCTACAGATATTTTTACCGGTGACTTTCGTTTTTTCCAAAAGATGGCTCTGTCCTCTTATTTTACAGTGGGATGTCTAGCCTCAGACCATTCTGGAACAAAATTGCTCAGCTTTAAACAACATTTAAGTTTGATAAATAAAACAAACTGTTATGTACAAAAAGATTACCTTCTACGGAGGCTGAGCATGGAAATGAATGTTTTGGAAGAATTACTAAATTCTTGTAACTTTTAAATACAACCTGAGTTCAGAGCCTAAACTCAAATTTCAGTGCAAAAACACCAAGGAAGCCCCATTCTGAGGAGGTAAGATGTGGGGCTTCTGCTAAGAGCTTCCTCTGCCTACCCTGAGCTTTCAGTTTTCTGAGGTAGACATTACTGCACCACAATTTGCAGCTTTGGAAATGAAAGAAAGGTGAAACTATATCTTTGTGTGTTCTTAGTTCAAAAGCCCTGTACACATTCACTACTCCATAGTACTCAGTCAATTTCTCATTTACATTTACTTGCTAAATTCTTCCCATTATAAGATGGTTTTTTCTGTGGAGGTATGTCCTTTTGGTTTATGATCTTCCTTAACTTTGGTCTCTTCAGCAGTATAATCTCTCACAATTTGCATTAAGATGCAATAATACACATTGCAAAAGAGGAAGACTATGTTTTGAAGTTGAAGATGGATGAGTGAAAAATCAATTTTGCTTTTACAAATAAACACCATATAAAGAAGATACCTCTTGACTCACTTGTTACACTTGATTTTTAGCTTCTGAATTTTATTTCTTTATTTGCTTTGTCAGTTCAGATGATAATATTATCTATTTTTGCTAAGTTTATGATAAAATGCAGTAGCATAAAAGAAAAATTTATTGCATGACTTGGCTAATTTAACTTATTCCTTAAAAAGAAAAATACCTATTTAGAGTACAGATAAGGAAGTGACATCTTAGAGCTTAAGGACTTTACTCTAGGAATTCTCACATAATAAATAATTTTAAAAACTGAAAACATTCTATAACTTTTTTAAGTAGGAACACAATAATGTAAGAACTTCAACCTACCTTAATCTGGGATGTTAACAAAAACGCTAATCATCTCATTCTAAAGGTAAAGAAAGTATGCTTTTTTAGGAGGTATGAACAAAATAAAAGGTGAAGTTCTACATTTTTAAAAGACCACTATATTAAAAGACTTAGCCATTAATCATCCTTGAAATACTGTCTCACTTGAAACACACAAACCTCATCTTTCTTGCCCCTTCCAGAAGGTTTTGGAATTCCTCTCCCTTCATGTCCAGATACTGCTCACAACATTTAGCTTTTCTGATCATTTTGACTCGAGGCAGGAGCCAGAAATCACATGGTGTCAGATCCAGTGGAAAAAGTGTTCTGAATGGATTCTGGATATGAAGGCTACCAAGAAAACATACTCGCAAGAAGGGACTTTGACAATTGCCTCCGAAAGTGGCGAGAATGAGGGATAGATGTGCTCGAAGTGACGGGGAGCATTTTGAGAAATATTAAGGGTAATGGGCCTTTGCAATAATTGTTATGAAATTCAAGTATGCGATGTATTGCTTGTTCATATCATGTAGATTGGACTTTTTGTTTCTTTAATCTGGAAAAGCCACCTGTGGCCCTCAAATGAACTTCTTGGAACGGCACCCTTCTCTTTCACCCCAAATCCTCAGGTGAGAATCCCCAAGCCCACTACTAGCCCTATTCCGTACCTGCTACTAATAAGGTGGTCCCAGCCACAAAGCACATGCGGACCTTAATGAAAGGCTCGTCCGGGAGAAATTTCACACAGTTCAGACCAAGGAGCAAGGTGACGAATCCAAAACCAGCTAAGATATCTGCAGTAATCATCAACGCTCGAGTGAGCACCAGCTTCACTGTGCGACCAGGACAAGTGGTTACAGCAGAATCAAGGGAGAGAAACAGATTAAATCCCAGAGGTGCATTAAACACAGGCAACTGTACACATAATAACACAAACCCCTAATAAATGCCATATTTTACGTTTGCATAAACTTGGACATGAACACCCCTGATTTCTTCATAAAATTCAAAACTATTATAAAATTATTGATGTCCTTGTGAATGTCATTACTTAGTTTGAAAAGGTCACTACTTAGTTTTGTTGTCATTTTAGCAGGCAGCATCCTGGGAGAAACGAGGTGCTAAATAAATTGCATCTTTTTTGCCTTCTGCTTTTAGAGTATTATAGGCAAATGCTGGATTGAAGGTATAATATCTTTTCTGCAGAAGTTACCCAATAAATATCCAATTCATAGATGAAATAAAGACCACTAAAATTTTTTGAAGTTTTCTTGAACACTTACATATAATTGTTTCCAGTTTTGCACGTGAATAGAGGGCAAAGTCATTTAAGATTTCCCTTGCCAGTTCAGGATGGTGGGAGCCATAAGTAGGCCGCAAGAAAGGAAGAGAACTCATGAAATCGAAGACTATCTTGGCAAGCCAGTTCATGTTAGCAGTCCTTCAGGGAGTGAGTCTTCTTGGCTAACAGTCCCTATTATGCATGTAGCCCTGCCTTGTCTCAGAATCATTCATTAAAGCCACAGCCTGAAGAGTGTAGGCAGAAGGCTCATAGGGGTGGAGTAGCAGCCATCATCTGCACTAGAAGCATCCTCAACTTAAGAGCCTCCCAACTTCTGAGTCGTAGTTACATTAAGCTAAAAACGGGGATGTTTTACCGCACTCTGAGGATTAACTGCAGGAGGCTGGAAGCACTGTTGTTAGCTGGCTGATGGGTGACAGTAATGAAATTGATTCCTTTCACGGGGCAATTATATATTATTTGCAGAGTGATCAGGAATCTCCTCGCTTTTTAAATCATTTGTCCTCAACGGCGAGGCAAAACTAGGGCTCATTTTGGTAATACACTGTTTGCAGAAATGCAGCCAATTCTCCTTATTTAAAATATAAAATAATATCCACATCACATATTCGAGGGAACAAATTTGTGCATAAAATTTCCCCACCTTGCAAATCTAATACACGCATATATTCTTATTTATGCATATATGTCAATATATATTTGTCCTTAAAATTCAATTTGTAATATTTTAAAAGTGATCATTGTTTCAAAAAAAAAAAAAGTTCCATGTACCAAACACAAGACTCACTTTATTTTTCTAGAAATTGAGGAAAGAGACAAATATAAAGCTTATTAAGCAATAACAGTGGTCTCTATTTCAACATACGCCCCTGACAACCCAAGTGGGCCTCCTGGTGCTGACCAGGCCCATGAGCTCCTCCTCTGGAATCTCTTCATTCCCCTTTTGGGATCTGGGACTACCCAGGCTTAAGAGTACTAACACGACTGGGTGGTCTGAATGCATCCAGATTTTCTCCTTCATGGTGAGACTCTCCCATCCTCTTCTCCCCAGTTGGGGGGGCTCTGTAGTGCTCCCGGATTCATGCCTACAGGGTGTTGAGGGGCCTGGTTCTTGGAGGGAAGCCCTGACAGGGGATTCCGTCTTCAGGATCATATGAGACTTGGCCACCAGAAAGGGATCATTAGGTGGATTCAGGGAGACTCAAATTGTCTTCATCAGTAGGATCCTGCAAATCAAATTAATCTGGGGACACACAGCCTAGGTCTGCAGGGCACTAGAAAGAGTTCTCCAGGTGTACTTGTTTGAAAACAACAAATCCTAAAAAGAAAGTTCTATTTCTTCCTAAGCAACACCTTAATGTAGAGAATCCTAGAATACATTTTTATCCCATTGTCTTTAAACATGTGATGTTTTAAGAAAACATGGATCTTGTATATTATTTAAATGTCATAAATGACAACAAAAGAAATAAGATAGCATATATAAAATATGACAGTAATTAGTTCTTTACGGGTTACTTTATTTTGTTCTAGCGTAAATGTACATAACCACATTTAAAGGCGTTAAACATTTAAATTTCTGGGATTTTTTTCCCCTGAGCTCTGGCCATGCCTTGAATTTTTGAAATAGGCAAATTGCCCATATAAATCTCTATACTTATTCATTAAACCATGCTTCTCTGTGAGAACTGCTGTAGTATAAAAAAGGAAAGGGAAGAGACTTGAGATAATTTTGTGGAAATGGAAAATTAGCAAAAGGCTCTATGAATTATGTTAAGCTGTTTCAGACACCTAACTCCTAAGTAGTAGGTTGAAGATATTTTAGAGCATTCCTTGTTTGAATGATTTTTCCCTAGACTGAAACAGCTCTCCAGGGGGAAAGACATATTGCAGTTACTTCTAACACTTCTTGAGAAGAGCTTTTTCTGTGTGGCACCATGACCAACATTTACCTTGAAGAGGACTGAAACCACTTTGCTTTAATAACGGGACCATTGTTGTTATCTCTTGGTGGAGTTGAATGTTATAAATACATGAAATAAATAAGTGCTATAGAAAAGGACTGAGAGATTCAATGATTTTTAAGAGATTCTTTTATTCATAGAAGCATGGACCTTGTAAATACTTAACTAAGATCTGAACCTGGCTTTAATATTACTGCTAACCATGTACTGCCTGTGTTGAGTTTTTCATCCATCGATCTCCATATTTTGTGTGTCTGCCTTTGGCTCTCTCTTTCTGTCTCTGTCCCTCCATCTCAACCTCTCTTTTTCCTACAAAGTTCAATGGAAATAACTGCAGACTCCCCACTTGAGCCAAGTCATTTCTGAGAGACATTTCAGAAAGGCCCTTCGTCTGACTCGATTCTGAACATAAAGCCATGAACACACAATGAATATATTTCAATTTTTAAAAAGTATTTACTATACATCTACTACACACAAGGTGCTTTGCCAGACCCTTTGGTGAATAGCCAAGAAAAGATATTTTTATCCTCAAGGAGTTTGCAAATATATGGGAAAAGATAAAAATATCTCTAAAATATTTTTCACTTTATGTATCATAAATTCAGCTTCTAAGAGAAGCGTTTCAAACTGCACACACTTAATGGACAGTACAGAAAGCAAAGCCACACGATGTCAATCTGAGCCCAACTTCCTTGGGAACGCCATTGCTGGCAGCCGGGGCGCTGAGGAATACATACAGGGGTGTTCCGCATATATGGAGTCGTATTCCTCACAGGTGCGAATACCGTCGAAGGCGTTGGTGACGCACTCCCACCAGAGGCCTCGGCATTTCGCGCTCACCTGGGGATTGGAAAGACAATGTGTGAAACAACTCTCACTCAGACACACTTCGGTTCCCCCCCAGCAGAGGGAGGACTCGGCTTTCCTGTTTAATAGAGGACAGTGGTTACAAGCTTGATCAGAATTTGACTGAAAAGCATTTTAGAAGATTTGCCTTTAAATTTTTTGTTTTGTTTTGTTGGCATCCGGGATCGAACTCGGGTCTTGCGTGCGCTTACTTGGGTCTTGTGCTTGCGAGGCAGGCATGGAACCACTGAGCTGAATCCCCGGCCCCGCCCTTAAGTACTGGCAAATGAAGGCTGTCCAGGTAAGAGGGGAAAGGATCCATTTCTTGATGCATGTGTGTGTATGAACAAATAAGTTATGGCGAAAAGGCATAAAACCAGAACTAAATACACTTGAATATCTATGGCTAGTTCCACCATCTAGCCATGGTTTAACATGAAGATAATTCATTTCACTTTCTTGTCTTGCCATTTATTCATAAAAGTCTAAAAAGCCATGGAAGATAACTATTAATGCCTTGAGTCTATTAGGAACATACATTAATTTTTCTTCATTATAACCCCGAGGTTCATGTTATTTATTTATTTATTTTCCCATTAAGTTTATTGGTATATTTTAGGTATATATACAGTTACATTCCTCTTTGGGATCTTGTACCTTTACACGACAGGCTTTGGTTCTTAGTTTTCCCCATGTTATTTTATATGAGGTTCATATATTTAAAGCTAGCAAAGAAAAGTTCATAAATGAAAAAAAATCAAAAAATGACTAAAATCCCCAAGTTTCTTTCCTCCCTTCTCTACTGACATACAACAAATGCTTAAGCTATGATATATTAAAAAAAAAACTGGAGGATTACTTTCATGCAATCTGGCAGCTGTAAAGCATTTTTACTTGGAGACAGTATCTAGATACAAGGGTCCAGTTAGAGTTAAAAGTACCAGTATATCAAACCTCTCCGTTCTCTTACACTGTATGTAACAGAAGAATTTAGTTTTTTACAATTTCAAACGTATCAACACAAAGTATACAGGCTGTCAACATAGTTCAGGTATATGGAGTACAGCATGATTCTTTCTTAAGCGTGATGGATTCACTTTACCTTGGCAACCTGGGAATAGTTGAGTAAAGTTTAAATTATGCTGGAAAATTAAAAGTTCAGTTTCCCCCTAAGAAAGAATAAATAACTGGGAAGGGTGGGAAGAGGAATGCTGAGAAAAGGATGCTAAGTTACTGTGAATAGGAAAGGAAGCAAACATTTTGCTTTACACACACACACACACACACACACACACACACACACACACACATTCACGTTAAGGAATATATGCACCATGAAATTCTGAGCCCCGTATTCTGCATTAAAGCCCCGCTGTAGACCAAGTAGAATTCTCCGGGCAGCAATTCCATTACAGTTTTTAATATGATGCCTTTATGTGTAAAGCACTTATAAATGATAATAATTAGTGACTCTGCACTGAGTCTATATTTTGAAATAGTTACTACTTAGGCATATAATTATTTCTTTATTTAAAAGATCTTGTGAGATATGACTGTGGTAATCCATTTCTCAAATAAGAAAATGGGGAGACAAAAGCGAAGGAGGCAATGTGGATGCAGAGATACAGACTGGAGTCGTGGAGCCAGAAGAAAGTAGCAGAAGCTGGAAGAAATGAGAAGCAAATTCTCCCCTGGAATCTTCAGAAGCAGAACAGTTTTGCCAAGACCTTGACTTCAGAATTCAGGCCTTCAGAACTATGACAGAACAACTTCCTCTTGGATGATTCCACCCACTTTGTAACCCACTTGTTACAGCACCCAGAGGAAACCAATGTAGCATAGGCACTAGGCATGGAGCTGTTATGCCTTGGAAGACAGCAAGCCTTTCCAGAGCCCATAACTCTTGAGTCCCTCAGTCAACAAACACACTGTATCTAGTTAATCTTCACTGGAGCTGTGCACTGCGGATATGAAATCATTACGCTATAATCAGACTATTGTCTACAATTTCTTATTGCCTAAGACAGCCACTAAAACATTTTTGTTGTATCTACTCATTTTTACATTACTTAGAAAGTGGTCTGAGATTAGACACAAAACATCTTACTCTACGTGAATAAAAGCATTTCTGCCTTGGCGAAATAATCCGGAAGTGTTGTCAAGTCTAAGGCTATTGATCATTTACCTGCAATGACCATATTTAGAAAAGTAATGAGCTCATTAGAGGAAACAAGGAATCCAATTTCATTAGCTATTAATGCTCAGGGGCACACTATTAAATTGTTTGGTATTCACCCTCAGTTAAGGTACGTGAGAATAGTGGTAATTAACTAAAATTCTGCGTTAATACAGCACTTACCAGAGACACCCTCAAAGGTGCCTTTGTGCATAAAATGCAAGGTTGAAAGATCTCATATTATCATATCATATCATATAGCCCTCCTTGCTATAATATACAGTCTCCAGTTGACCTAATCCTCTTTTATAAAATGGTCTCTAAGAAATTCTCTAAAAGCAAAACAAATGTAAGTTCTTCAGCTTTTAAAATAAAATTCTTAAAAAGGAGGCTGAAGTTTAAAATATCACGGCTAATCTTTCTGAAAGGGCAAAAAATGCAAAATGTTAATTAATAACTTTTATCTCAGAGGGTCATCTGAAACAGAACATTCCAAATTTGAGCTTCTTCCTTTTAATGTTCACTTCTGTGTTTTATAGATAACATACAAAATAATGCAAAAGAGAATTTATATATTATCAGTATATATTATTTCAATAAATATTTTTATGAGTCTTTCCATTCACTGACCTGAAATTAATCTCTGCCTACCCTGAGATTCCATAACAATTTGTCCATCCATAGTTTTAGAATAATCATTGTATTATATTTGGAAGTGCATTTAATGCTTTTGTCTGTCATAATGGAAATTATATTAATTGAATGATTTTCATGTACTAATGGATATGCTAACTAAATGCTGTGAATTAAGATGAACTTGGACCTTGTTTCAAAAATCCTGTACTTTCTGCTTCTTGATATATAATAGGTATACTTTATTGAAGACAAAAACTTGTCATTTTTTTTTCTAATTCACACATATGCATATTAACTCTCATCTGAGCTTTGGAGTAGAAAACAGTTACTGATAATGCTGTCTAATGTGCTGTAGGCACAATTGTTACTTCATATGTGCTTTTAACTAGAACAGCTAAATCTAGGAGTCAAAAGAACTACTTAGACTGAAGAGCATATGCAGATTTCGTGTCATCCTGGACCCCGTCTTACTGTCTGGCTCTGGAAAGTGCTTACTAGAACACTAAGGAGGAGTAGGATAATGTTTAAACAGCTATAGGAAATCATACCGATGATGACTGTCCCCATTTGAGTTACAGTGTCATAAATCACTCCCTTAATCCTGAGACTTACTATTTTAAACTTCTCATCAGTTTCCTAAAGTCTTCTCCAAGTGATGGACCTTATGGTAAGTGAAACACACCAGGCACAAAAAAACGAATACTGCATGATCTCAAGAGGCAAGTACATTTTTCTTTTCTCTATCGTAGGTGGAATCTAAAAAGCAGGTCTCATCGAAGTAGAGTGTACATGGTGGTGATCAGAGTCAGGGGAGAAGTGGATGGGAAAGAGGGATGTGGGAAAGCTTATCAACTGGTTCTAAGTAACACCTAGATAGGAACAAGAAGTTCCAGTGTGCTATTGCACAGTGGGGCCTTTATAGGTTATGATAATGTACTGTACAACTCAAAAAGCCAGGAGACAGGATCTTGAATGTGTCATCAAAAAACACTGCAGAGAAAGATATGTTTAACCTGGTAGATACATTACACAATGTATACACGTACCCAAACAGCATATGGAATCTCATTAATATGTATGACTTTTATGTTTTTGTATCATTTAAAGTGCAATTAATTTAAATAAAATAAAACTAAATGAATAAAATGAGTTCTTTCTTCTATTTTTGGTGAATTTCTCTCTTGTCATTCCTGAAACACAAGAACCAACACAATTTGCCTGCCTTTTCTTTTTATATATTTGCTGAGAATTAGAGAAAATCAAAAATATTTGATAATTACCACTTTTCCAGTTAAAGAGTTCTATATGTGTATTTCTTACACATGTACATATAGTGATATATAAATATAATAAATGTAAATATATGTAATGTATATATGTACACAGAGATACATATATAGATGCAAGTGTATGTATGTCACACATGTAATATAATTATGTGTATGATAGAATATATATGCACATATATAAATATATTAAATGTCCACCCTACATTAAATGTACATGTTACATAATTACATATGTAAATGCATTATACAATAGGCTATATTATATATTTTAAGATATAATGTATATACAACAGAGGTAGTAAATATTTATTGTTAGTTGACAAGGATCAAGCAAGGGTTTCTTTATAAATATGTATTAGGTTATAAATGTGGAAGTATGAATAATGCATAAACCTAATATAAATGTACTAATCCATTAAGATACTTTATTTTAAAAAGCACCTTGCTTATACACATTATTTATAATTTTCACAAGATTTTACCATCCTCGGACTAACATGTTTTCACATTGAAACTGCAATTCATGTGTGTACAGTACTTACTCAAATTTATTTATTAAGATACATATATTTTAGTAACATGTTGATAAATAGTATGCTTTTACTACTAAAAACAGAAATATTTTAATTCTAAAACTCATTTGAATTTTCAAAATCAGAATTCTGAAGTTTTTACTTTTGCATTTTGTTTTATGTTTTTTTCATCTCGTACTATAACTTAAGTCAAGATTGGACATAGTATGGGTTAGGGACTAAGACTTACATAATCACAATAAGAATTCCCTTATTTTATAAGTTAGGAAAGATAGTCATGAGTTTAACAAAATCTGTTTGTATTACTTCTGCTTGGTTACTCAGACTGAAGATATAAATGATAAGGAATGGGGTATTTCAAAGTGTAAAATGTAATTTTTGTGACCTTCGCAGTTGTATGACTTGATTTACACAGCCAAGCCATCTAAACATTTAAATTTAAATTTTTAAAAAAATTTATTTGGGTTACATGCATTAGAGTTCTTTCCTATAAAAATGTGGCACCACAAATGCAGTGGTATTTGTCCAGTGGCAGAGATCACATTTATGTTGAGTGACTCATTATACAATGTTATTTAATTTTCTTTCCTTCCTAAAATGTTTCTCTCTTCAAAGCACCAATCGCAAAGCCCTATTATTGAGATATATTACCACTTGTCATCAACCTGATTAGACATCTCCTGAGATGAAATCTTTACTCCTGCGCTATTAAAAAGATGAGCCAAGTACATATATTGAAAACCGTTACATTGTCTCGGAGCATAAGATCTTGCTTTTACAAAGAGGAAGTATTTGTGGCTCCACAGAGATATTTTTCATATAAGGTTGAATGTGAAACTTTTACAGATCGTCTTATACCATATTCCATTCATTCATTCTCAGCATGATATGGGAAGTATGCGAATGGAGCTCTGTCATTTCCTAAGTGCAATGCATCACGAACACCTGTAGTGTGAACACCAGTACTAATGCCGTAGAAAATCAGGAGCTGAGTACAAGAATGTGTGCGCTCTTAAATGTCTGCTAGAAAGTAAAACTGGTCTGTGAATAATCAGAGCACATCCCAGGTATAATAACTTTAATATGTACTTTATATTTGAAAGAATTATAACATCATTAATGCAAATAGAAGTTCCAGGAGAGAACCCAATTAGGAGGATAAAATAAATTCCAATGTGAGCAACCATCTTTTGAAGTAATAAAATTTTAATTACAACAGTACTGGCTGTATAGCAGTTTCACTGGAGATAATTAAGAAAAAAATTAACTCAAACTGGAATCAATTTTGTCAAATACTTTTTCCTTCCAATAGTAGAAATACTAGTAACTTTGTGAAGAAAATGTCTTTTCTATCCCAGTTTGGATAATTAAGAATTATATATTTTCTAATATATTTAACACGTTAACAATGCTATTAATTATTTTTTGTGTGTGAAACACAAGCTTTTGCTTGCTAAGGTTTGCTCTTGCACTCTATTGTGTGCCTAATTCCCCTGGCCTTAAAACTAAAAAAACCAAACCCAATATCACAAATGAGAGACTGGCAAATTACAGCCCAAAGAACTAACCAAAGTTTCTCCAAGAAGATCAATAGTGAAAATAGGAACAGAACTTATATCTGATATCTATTTATTCAGTGAATGCTAAACAAAATGTCATCCCTTCCTCTGGAAGTAAAACAAAAGAATGATCTGCAAATCAGTCATAACATATCTGACATTTGTTGGCCCATTTGTATTTGTCTGGTGCTGTGGTACATGCTTATGATGTATGTATTATTATTCTCCCTCTGCAGAAGAGGAAATGTGGCCGATGGCAATTGAAAGTCTGCCTAAATCACACAGCTACTACATGTCGAGGCAGGACATCACCACAGCTCACTGTGACGTGAAATCTGACCACTGGAAAGAACTGTGTCCTGCTCTGGGCGTTGTATAATAAGCAAAGCCAGGAAAAATGCCAAAACGCACAGTGAGATGATAGAAGGATATTGTTCCGTGATGACCACAGGACAAAAGCTAATACTCCGCCATTTATACTCGAGGTTCGAGATTCCACCAGCCCTCCAGTTGGCCCACAGTGGAAAGGTGGATTTCAACCTCGACTTCTGAGTTGGCACCCTTTTTTTTTTCCACAAGTGGTTAATTACCAACCTCATCAATTAGAGGTCTTCGTATTTTACATATCTTTTCATGCTTTTTGGCACTATATAATTCAAAATACCATTGTTTTCCTTCTACTCTATGGCCAACGTCTCCTAACTGGTCTCCTCATACTTCCTTGTGTGTTTTTCAAACCTGTCTCACAAAGCAGCCAGAATGACTAGTATTTGTAAAATGAAAGTACATGTTTGCTTACAGTAAAGCATCCTTGCCTGTAGAATAGGATCTGTAATGTGACAGATGACATCCTTGAGTGCATAGACACTATTCTCCAGCGGAAACCCTTAGTATGGTGAAAAGTATACAATGCCAAGTACAGTGTCTCACACCAGCATCTGTGTGCATACCATAACTGGCCCTTTCTGTAGCAGTTTTGGAAGTCCTTTTTCTTGTCTTCCTGAATTGTGCTTAAAAGCAATATGGTGAATACCCAGCTGAGTGTCATCCAACAGAAAGGCAGCCTCATAAAAACACCACAATGTGTTGGTCCCTACTTTATTCACTGTATATGGCTCCAGAAGACTTCTGACTCTTCAACGTCGAAATGACCATGAAAAGTAAATGTTTAAAATTGGTTCAGGACATCAAGGCAACCACAGCAGCATAACTATAGACCCACACAAAAAAGAATTTCTAAAGCTGCTTCAAAAAGGGATGAGAAAAAAAGGGGCAAGTGTGTGTTGGAAGTGGGGGAAGAGTATTTTGAAGGGGATTAAGGGCAGTGGTCTTTGGCTGTAATATACTGGTAAAGTTTAAGCACTTTACGGTTATTTGTGTATGTTTTGATCTCTCCTCATACTCTGAGTGATTCCTTTCCCTTTAAAATATTGACAGAGAAATTGCTGGAAGAGAAGGGGGGCATTCTTCGATATAAGGCTCCTCTTTTTCATATGGTACTTATGTAGGGGAGGTATTTCAATATGAGAATGAAGAAAGAGCTAAGACAAGCTCCCTAAAGCTTTCCAAGATTATCAAAGACTAACTCAAGGTGAATAACCTGGAGTGATTATTCCCATTCATTTTGACTAGATGTGTTCTCGTACAAGGCAGGTGGCAAATTGTTTGACCTATGACAATGAAAGGAAGAAAGCACTTTAAATGCCAGGACTACCGATCTCTCTCTTTCAACATGCATGGACCCTTCCTCAAACTCTATGTTTGACCAAGTGAGGTTAGAAATTCCATCGTCTTGATCAGAAAGACTTTCAAATTGCTGCAAAAAATAATCTTATTGACGACTTTGGATCAGACTTTAAATTTTTTTAATTCACTTTTTAATATGCTCCGGGCCATCCTATTGTTCATTTGGGTCACCTACTACTGGAAAACCAAGCGAATGGAAGAGGAATGTTATGTTTGCACTTTTCCGAGTACCGGCTTGAAAAGCATTTTTCTCTTCATTCACTGCTCATATGCGTAGCCAGATAAAGTGCATCGCTGGACTCAGTTTAAAGCAGACCTCCTTTACAACAGTTCAATTCCATCACAGTTTTTAGAAATGTCGTTTTACAGCACTAGGAAGGTATTTTTTAACTCCATTGGTTTTGCAAAGTCACGTAAAAGTCAGAAGAGAATTGGAAAGCAAGCAAAAATAAATAGCAAAGGTCATGAAGGGTACAAAGATTATTACTTTCCATTTTTAAGTTCAACTCGAGAGTCTAGTAAATAAAATTAGAAGAAAAGTATGCAAATTTGTGTTTTAGTATCTTTTTCAAACTTCATAGAGATGACGGTATAGAATTTGTTAGAATAAATTGTCCGTTCCACATATACATAAAATTGTGCAGTTATGCACTTTGTGAGTTCTTGATATATTCCCTCTTTTTCTTACCTGTGTTTTCCTAAACCTTACTAATAAACTGCAAGATTGTTAAAAATTGATTTTCTTTTGCTTAGTTTCAACTTTCTCAGATTCCTGTGACCACAGGAAATACTTTTGTTCTTCAAATTCACTTTTTTTATCTGCTTCAGCGAGAAAAATAAAATTCTCCAATGTGAATGTACTCACCATCCCTTGCATAGCTGTTCCCAAGTGTGACTCATTTTTAACAGAAAAAATTTTAAATCTGTATCTGTCCCCTTTACACAGATATGAAGTGGAGTTTTCCTCTGAATGTATTCTTCCGTTGGAAGTTAATTAAAATGACACTGTTCTGTTGCTTTCTAATTGGGTGTGTTTTATATACCATGACTTGGATTATGAGCACTCCTTTTGGAAAGTCTATTGTGGTAAGATTTAAAAATTATCTTAAAAAAGTTGTTACTGGAATATTGTTCAGTTTGGTCTGTGTAATGGTGGCAGAGGTGAATTAATGGATAGTTATAACCCTTGTGTAAATCTATTCTTTAAAAAGAAGAACTATTCAATTGCCTCATTTATAAAGTGGGATAGTACGGTTTGTTATTGATTAGTATGAGGGTTAAATGAGCTGAGGGTGTAAAGATTCTGGGAGTAGTGAGGTGACCAAGTGTGCTACCTTTCTATCATCCATCCAATGAAGCACACTAACTGAGAATGCCCTATCGCAGTGGGGCTGAGAGAAAATTTAGACTGCCTCCAAAAAAGAGAGGGTATTAATTTCTTACCTCCAGAGAGTCGTCAGCATTCACCATCCAACAATCTGTCCAGGTGGCCAAAATCAAAAACCCAGTGGAGAAAAAGGCAAAGAAGCAGGCAGCATAGGGAAGAAGGTCCTTCATGGCGGGGAACAGCCTGTGGGGGAGGGACACACCGGCAGGCAGCAGGCCCGGGCCCACCCTGGTGGCTGTGATGCTACGGGAGCTTCTGGTACCTGGAGATGAGAAAGTACAGGTCTTTTACTTTTCCTCACTCCCCACTGCACCCACCTCAGTGGCAGTAAGTATAATAAACAGGTCGTCACCCACAGAGGGTCCTGGAGGTCATTATCCGAAACAATTAGCTTCCGATCAGAATCTGGGTCAGTGAAAGAACTGCATACGGTCTGGGTCGGGGAGAGAAAGAGCCCAGTAACCTTTTCTGCCCAGGCTGGGGAATTACGTGCGAGGATGGTCACCAGAGGTGCGGGCCAGTGCCAGGGCGGAGGGAAGGAGGGTGGAGCTAGAGCCTGTGAATGATCCTCAGGGAAAGGAGGCTCTCCTCCCCCTCAGAAGAAGCCTTCACGGTTGGCTGGGTGCTATTTTATTGTTAGGGCTATTTTAATATTAGCTGGCTGCCTTAGATGGACAGACCACAGGTGAAATTATGCTAAGCAGGTACTGGCTCAAGGGAGTTTGCATTCCAAAGTGCTGGGCAGAGCTACTTCACCTGTGCAGCAGGTAGCAGGGAGGGTCGAGGACCTTGACCTTTCAGCATCAGAGACTGGGGACGAGTACATGCTTAAAAAATAATTTTATTTTTGCTTTGTGTAGGGGTGCACACCTGTAATCCCAGAAACGAGAAAGGCCACTGCAGGAGTATTGCAAGGTCAAGGCCAGGCTGGGCCACTTACTGGGATTCTGTCTTAGACTAAAAAATAGAAAGTGCTGGGGGGGGGGATATAGCTTAGTTGTAAAGAGCCCATTGGGTTCCATTCTCCAGTACCAAAAATAATTAAATTTCTTTGAAATTAAAATTCAAAAGCACACACACACACACACACACACACACACACACACACACATCACATGGAACAAACAGAACAACACAAAACAAAAACCCAACGTTTTTCAACAATATAGTCATTCTATAACAAACACAAAATTTAGAGTCGTTTTACAATGCTTCCTTTCTTAAAATGGATGTAAAGTACCTTCTTGATTGTTTGTGTGCATATTTTCAGTGGGACATTGTTGCCTTAGTTTATAATGTATTTGTAAAGCTTTTCTAAATGGTTTATAGATATGATATCATGTAATCTTCATAAGCATCTTAGGAAGATATTAAGTCCCCAAAGGTCCTGCACCTATAAGCTTCAGAAAGAGAATTTATAGCCAGCATTGCTGGGATTAAAAGGTTTACTTATAAATTACTACAGTTCTTATGGAGAACTAAAAACAAAACTAGTTGTTCTGGGAATCTTATTACTGAGTATGTATCTAATGGAAATAAAATCAGTATGTACAAAAGATATCTAAACACCCTTGTCTATTGCGGTGCTATTCATAGTAGGCAAGAGATGGAAATAGCTCAGTGTACACCCACTGCTGTACGGATAAAACAAACACGGTATGTGCATATAATGGAATACTATTCAGTCATAAACACAATGAAATCCTATCATTTGCACAACATGAATGAAACTGAAGGACACAATGTGAAATACATCAGGCACAGAGAGACAAGTGTGTGATCTCACCCCACACATTTTAGGAGAATCTATGAAAAGTTGATCTCAAAGAATCATAAAGTAGAATGATGTTATGCTGGGAAAGGTAAGGGGTGAGGGGTAGGGAAGAGTTTAGGTGATGAGTATAAAGTTACAGAATATAGTAATAAATTCTAGTATGCAATTACATAGTCAGGTGACTAGAGTGAACAATAATGTGTTTCTGCTTTGAGGAGTCATAGCTGACTCTTTCCTTGTGCCCTAAAGTCTGACATACTAACAAGGAAACAGACCGTTTCCAAAAACTCAGGCCCATTACAGGAAAGTCCCAGACTGAGCTGCTAGGTTACTCCCCAGGGGGCTTTCTTAATGCACTTTTTTCCACTAATTGTGCACTGTTAAGGTTGAGTGCATCCTGGAATTGCCAAGCCCACTGTTTACAGATACGGACTGTGGAATTTCACATCCAGAGAACTGGATTGGGGAAAAGGAGAGAAGGCCAAAAATTCATATTTTATACATCTTTGACATAAACTTCTCTTTCTGAGACACAGGGCCACGTTTTGAGACACTAGTTCAAAAAAAAGAGGTGGAAAAAAAAAAACCAAAAACAACAAACCCAGCATAGTACTACAAATAAAGCTCTAGGAAAGGAGATATTAATACTGCGTCTTGAACACTGACTTTTTCCTAAGGAGTACTGATGAATATGAAGTTTCTCTCAAGGGTTTCTGTGTGAAGAACTGGATCCCCAGTGCTGAAATGTTGAGCGGTGGGGGCCTAGAAAGTTTTCTGGGTCATGAAGGCACTGTCTTCATCAACGGATGAATTGCATCGATAAGGTCACAGTTGACTGGGCTTACGGCGAGTTGGGCGGTTGGAGGAAGTGGTTGACTGGAGACAAAACTTTGAAGGGTACATTCTTCCCCCAACTCCTTCTCTGTTTTCTGGCTTCTTCCCCTGCTTTCTGTCTCCCAGATGTCAGGGACTAAGAAGCTTTCTTCCCCCGTGTCCTTCTGCCATGATGTTTCTGCCTTGGAACCAGTCAAACATAGACTGAGCCAAAATAAATGCCTCTTCTTGTGAGTTGTGTTAGGGATTTTGTCCCAGCAATGGAAAGATAACTAATATAAGTGCCAGTAGTAGGTCTGTAATCCAAATATCGGAACCTGACAAAGAGGAGTACGAAAGGGAAAAATACTGAACATTCCCATATGCAAACACACACATATATACATGTATTTCAGGAAATCAGAGATTCTGACATTAAAAAGTTTAGACCGTCGAGTATTTGCTTTCGATATTTACCCAGCATTGTATTATAGAACTACCACTGAATTTAGGGGACTATAGAACAATTCCTGAATTTAAATTTGTTATATTTAGAGGAAAAGATAAGATGATCATATTTAAATGATACTTTCTGCAGTCAAGGCCATAACAGGAGGATGACCATGCTTAGATGTTAATTTCTGCAGTCAAGGCCATGACAGGAGGCCTCTGAAGGGAGAATCGTGCAGAGTGACAGAGGAGCAAAGTCTTTCTGTCTGGGACGTGAGTACAATTTTAAGGAAGAGAGGAATGAGCAGTGAGCTGTGAGGAGGGAGGTGTAGACAGAGAGTAAATGCTGGATCTGTTTTGACACATCGCCTGCTCACTCTGCCCTGCTCTAGACTCAGTTATGTAGCCTTATGAGTGCAGTCACAGCTCACTTTCATTCCCCCCAGCAGACACTGATGGACAGGCTACCCTGACTCTAGCACTGTGCTAGATCCTGGGGACACAGAGAAAGTAAAAGACGCAGGACCTGTTTGAGACATTTACTCCTCAGTGGCTGGACCAGATTTAGGTACTGAGAGAAGGTGAAGAGCTCCACTCAGGTAACTCGGATAACAGCTTTGAGCACTAGAGGACCACTCCAAAACAGTATGTAGGCACATTAGATAGAAAGATGCAATTTCCCAACTTATTGTAAGCATTAAATATAATTACCACTAAGTGAATGCCACAATAGGGTTTACAAAATATTTTCAAATGCATTATCTCATGCTCCATGAAGACGGACATCATTTAGTTCATCAGTCCATGCCAGATGCTTAAAAATCTACCTAGCACATGGTGGACTCTCAACTGATTATATATTCAGTGTAAGTCTCAGAACCCCTGCATTTTACAAAAGATACAGCACTATTATATTATAATTTTGTATCCAAGGTCCCCCAGAATATACACTAAACCGGCAAAAGTGCTCTGATAGTCTTTGCAACTTCAGGGCTGTATATTCTAGAAAGTCTCAAAGACATTTTAGTCAATCTACTGTACCCTGGGTTCATACTACTCAGCATTTGCATGACTCCTGACAGAGGCTTTAGAGTCACTTGGGGATCAGGTGAATGACACCATCAGCCTTACCTGAATCATTTAGGAAAGAAGTAATTGTAGAACTGGAAATGCTGCAATTAAGCTTTCAGTCTGCAGATGGAAGCAGCCCCGTAGTTTCAGTTGGGCAAAACAACACTACGTTACTTTGTGTGTGAGAGAGCACAATTTTTGCTGGTCTCACAAAATGTTCCTTTTGTATTCATTACAATAATGCAGGTCCTTAGAAAAAGTAAATATTTAAATCACATCTTATGAATAATCCTCTCTCTTCTTTTTGAGATGCCCAGTGATCATTGGAAAAATCTACACAATAAAATCAGTTGCTCTTGTCAAAGCCCGTGCTGGTTGTGACAAATGGTAAAATAAATCATTGATTAAAGGTTTGGATCTCAGAATTAGAGAGACATGTGTTCAGGCTAAGCCAATTATTACATCTCAGATTTAAATAAACCATTTAATATTACTGAGGCACTTCCTTGTCCATAAAATGAGAATTCTGAACTTTGTCTCCGAACAGCTGTGGGTAATAAGTAATATTTTAATGATTTTAATACAGTGCATAAAATATACTAAATAATCAATAAGTTATAGCCATTGTGATTTGTATATTACAACCTTGTTCTTTCACATATGTGTCTGAAGAGGTATGTAGGATAGATGTATCTCTACCCACTCTATCAAGAGTAAAATTGAACACTTAGGAAATAAAAAGTCCAGTTACAAAGCTAATTCAGTTTTTATCTCTATGGTTCTTTTAAATCTATTTGTTTTCAGCTAATTCTTCTCCTGGCTGTACACAAAATCTATGATGTGCTTTGTGATGTTCATATCATTTTCAGGTAATATATAAAATATCTTAATGACTTCAAGGTACAAAGACATGGTGTCCTCCCAGGGACCTAGATACTTTATACTTGTGAGTTCAGGTCAGTCACTCCGTGGCCACACCCCTGCCACGTGGGCCTCAGGGCAGTGTGCCCACCACTGCGATCTGAGTCCATATCTCCAAATCCAAGGGAACAATGCCAGGCTTTTAGAATAGATGAGTTGAAATCTTTGGTCTAGTTTTGTTTTTTAAGTCAAACATTTATATATTTTAGATATATTTTATGTATTTTAGATATACATAATGATAATATTCATCATAGGGAATTTGTTCCAGAACATGAGATATCTTGCTTCTTTTTTTTTTCCTATTCTCCTCCCTCCCTTCGACCCCTCTAACTCTTTTTATTTACAAAAGCTTTGTTTCCTTTGTTTCCTTCCAGTCTTTCTTATATATTTTTTTGTCCCTTCTTTCCTTTCTCCCTGCCCTTCTCCTTTGGTCCCCTTCTCATTTGAACATTTTCTTCCCATTTCCCAATATCTACAATATATTTTAATCCGTACATTCTCTGGTTTGTCACACCAGAGAAACA